CATCGAGTTGAATATACCTTTAACGAACGTTCCAATCTATGGATTTTACTCTGAACGTAGGTAAAGCAAAATGTGTAGTCGTCTATTTCTTTCTCAAAGTGTTTTCTAGAGAAACACTTAGCACCTCGATAATATCGAAGTTTCTACACAACGAATTAAAATTCCTTCACAAACACTCTGAAGTGTTTCTGACGATAAAACATATGTCCATAACTACCATTGTAACTTTATCGAAATTTATATTTTGACTGTAATTAAAAAAGAAAAAAATTGCATTTCTGATAACAAACCATACTCTATCTAAATGTCATATTTATTTCGCATGACATTCCAGAGAATGGACTTCATGTAATTCAGGTTAAAAGCTTCTATCATTATTTTTTTTTATATATTATTCATGTTAAAATATTCTATAAGGAAAGAGTTATGTCATCCAAGCTAAAACCTTCTCTAAGGAAAGATTGTTTTATGTTATTCGGGTTGAAATCTCCTATGTGGAAATTTGTTATGTAATTTAGGTTAAAACCTTCTCTAAGGAAAGATTGTTTTATGTTATTCGGGATAAAATGGAAATAAATTATTGTGCTTTATTGTAAAAATCAACTTAGGTAAATTACATTTATATTGGGACATTTACAACTACATACACCTGTAGGTAGCTTCAAGATCAAGTTAATATTAACAGCTTCAACCTTATCTGTGGTAGGATTATAAACCGAAAACATTTAAAATAGTCATTTACAAATGTTACATATATATATATATATATATTAAGATTATTCCAATACAAGATAGTAACATCGTTGTAATAGTAGTCAGTAGTAGCAAACGTAGGTTATTTTCTTACAATAAAGACGTGTGGTTACATAAATGTAAAAACATTTGTGTGTGTAAAGAATACATTGTTGTTGTTTTTTTATAACCAAAATTTAAAATAGTAACTCATTCTACATGTAATGTTTATTAATCACTAATATACAAGATAAATTAAACTCAAAGATTTGTTATTGCACTTCTTTCAAAAGATAAAATTCTCGGCCCTTGAAAACCGAATACAGCTATGCGGTGATTTAGAGGCCGATGAGATGTATACATTTTCTGTACTGTTTCTGTTATATCTCTGATAAATACTGAATATTATTAGCTTCGCGCCAAGATTTTTTTCTAAGAATGAGCAAACAACTTCTCAATAACTTTTCCTTTAAATTTTTAGTGCTGTAAAGGAAACCTGAAAAGTTTTAATGGTAATAATACAGGTACAACTTCTAGTTCATTATTCCGTAAACTTGACAATATTTAAGTATCTTTGAAGGCAAAAAAATTCAGTTTCTTTCAGAGCATGCCCCTCGACGGCCCAGTGTTAATTTTGAGGGCTTCTAACGCTGAAATTCTGGGTCCGATACTCGCTGTGAGCACAGCACAGATGACCCAATTTTATCTTTGTCCTTGAAAATAAACGAAATTTCGAAGAGATTATTAACACTGATCCAAAGTTATTTTCTTCAAAATCTTATGCTAAAGACTGTTGTCTTTTTCAAATGGATAAAACTCGAGTTTGGATTTCTTTACAGATTTAATCACTTTAAGCAAAACATCCAAAAAAATAATCGATAGAGTTTGACGTCTGGAGACTAGTACCAATGACGTTTCGTCTCGCAAAAACTCGAAATAGTATTTCACTTCAAGGTCTACTGTTGACGCAACTGTGAGGTCATTCTAATAAACCAATCACAGATTTGCGTGCATGCATATACGTACTTGGAAATACCAACTTTTCTTCAATAGATATATAAACATGTTATTGAAATTTCAAAGTGCAAAAATGCGATAACATACACACACACACACACTGGACAGCTTCTGAATAATTAAGTAGAAATTTGAATTTTTGCTCTATTAAAATTACTCATCCTACGATATAGTGAATCTTTTTTTTTTCTTTTTTTTTCCTTACGCGTTTTTCGAGCACACCATTCTTGGCTGTGGATAATCTGGTGGCATATACAAATTATCGAACAGAGATGTTGACATAAATTTTCTACTATTACACACAACAAGATCTTCTTCGTACTTTAGTTTTCTTTGTCAACTATTTCGACATTGACATCTGCCTTTCACTGTTAACAATGGTTTTAATAAATAGGTGTCTGTTCTACATTTAGAATGAGGACATTAGGCTAGGCATATTCTCAGGTGATGCTTTCCACAATGGTTTCTATAACACTAACAGAATGAGAGCAAACCGGGACTTTCACCCTTCACTCCAATTCGTTGAGGAGTGTTCTTAATGTGAGTGCCTGTTACAGTTTTCTTAAAACAAATGGCGCTTTAAAAAAAAAACCTTTAGGTAATATTGAGGAATATCACTCATTTTAAAGATGCAACTTTTTAAAATGTGCGAATGATGTAATGAGTAGAGCTTGAGATCGTTTATATTTGAAATATAAGTTCAAAGTGTTGATTGCGTTGTGTTTAAACAGTCCGAATATGCAAATCAGTAGGTCACGTAACGACCACAGCCGATATGAAGTTGCGGTGGAACGGAATGTATCAGAACTGCATTTCTCACATTGTTCGGCGTTGCGTAGCGTCGTATGTAGTGTGATGCCACCGAAAATTTATCGCTTTTTAGAAGGGTATGTAAAAGTCCTTTCTGACGAAAAATAATCATACACTCAGATCATAAATATGTGTTCAAATCGTAGACATAGAATATCTAGGAGGGTGGTTGGCATTGGGAAATAACGGAATATGGATTAACTTGGGGCACCGAGACTATCCAGAAAGATACCTACACCAATTCGTATCCTAGTCGTTGTAAGCAAACCACGGCTTCTTATAACAGGTAAGAGTCCACTAATACAAAGCTTAGTTGCAAAATACGGCTACGAACCATAGACAACAGTACAAAATATAATAAAGAAGAATCACTGCCTGGAAACGAGGCCAACAGGGTATGGGTTCATGAAGATAAGGCTTCCGATCATACCTTTTGTTAAATCGTCGTATATCTCAAGCAGCTGGAGAATGAAATGAATATTCATGCTATTCAATACGACAATCTATGAAGTCGCCAAACGTAGCGCCTATGAATTTCTGTATGTTCGCACTGTTGAAATGGCGCTGAGACACCGTCCTCCTGGTACACCAGAAAGGAACAGAAAGCGTTCAGAGAAGAGTGGTGTGTCTTGGACATGACAGCCTTACTATGGGTCTTTTTGCAATAAAACTACTCTGTAGAGCTATTGTCAAGAAGCACGGTAGTCAGATTGAATATGACCAGAGATGGCGACATTGGCTATTACGACGTGGTGAGGCTCCAAATTCGTTTTAATATAACGTACTCAACCCTCTCTATAAGTATGCCAAAATGATTTATTCGAAATTGAAATCGGCAGAATGTGTTAAAAATACATTGTGATCCATTAGGATTAGTACAATAAAACATGGATTATCATCACGGTGTGTTAATGAGAAAGGAAGAAAGAAAAATGTAAACAATCGGTTTGTTGTGTTAGCGCAAAGCTGTGCAATAGGCTATTTGTATTGTGTCCTCAACGTGGATCGAACCATGAATTATATTATTATAAACTCTGACGTGAACAGACTGAAAGAAAGATAAGAATATAAAAATAGCATGTAGAAGAGCTACAACGATGAATTACAAAACTTACTGATTGATACACAAAGCAGTGAAATACGCACAAGTGAAGAACGAGAAAAAACTTAATTTTTGATATATTTTCATAATGTTGTGAATGTAAAAAAAGTGCAAATATTCTGGTGCAGAAAATACGTAAATTTTGGTCACAATAATTCATACACACGATGCTATAAACGGAATTGCTTTCCGCATACAGAAAATTTATCGGAAGTGTTTCAGTATTTGGTTTAACACAAAGCCACATTTGGCTATCTGCTATGTCCACTACAGGGAATCGACCCCCCGGATATTTTGCGTTGTAAATTTATAAAATTACAACTGACCCATGGGGGAGGGGACATTTATTGGAACAAATGTGAGGTCATAAAAACTAAATAAATACTTTTTTATGATTTTAACTAAGTTCAGATAGAAAAAGTGCCCATTTAAAGAGATAGAAAGTAAATAACGATTTCATATTTTAAAATATAACAATAATATCTAACGTTCGTTACTTTCAAGGGCGATCGTTTGTTACTTATCATCAAAGGTTGAAAATATGGCAGAGCTAAAACGCTGAACGTTTAAAGTATTTGGAATCGTAGTTCGTAATTTACCTGTTTTGTCAACTTTAATATTTGTTTGTTGGTTAGTTTTCCCGAACATGCTCGTCCTTTCAGTCGTGGGGGCGTTATAAGTGACGGCCAATCCCACTGTTCATTGGTGAAAGAATAGTTCAAGAGTTGGCGGTGGATAGTGATGACTAGCTGCCTTCCCTCTAGTCTATCACTACTAAATTAGAGATGGCCAGCCCTTGTGTAGCTTTGCGCGACATTTGACAGGGATTCGAACCCGCAACCCCTAGATTACGATTCGAGCGCCCTAACCACCAGCCCCCCCTTCAACTTCAATAAAATGCAAAAAAGTCAGAGATCGATCAAAATAATTAAATTTTAACGTACATAGACATAAATTATATGAGGCAATGGAACTAAAGCAGAAACCATTACAATGTTAACAACAGATTTCTAGCGTAATAGCTTTCATTAATACCCCCAGTGGCACAGCGATAAGTCTGCAGGCTTATAACGCTAAAAAACAGGTTTCGATATCCGTGGTGGGCACATCATAGATAGTCCACTGTTCAGCTTTGTGTTTAACTACAAACAAAGATTTTATTAAGGGCAGATTTCAGTCCATGTATGTCTAAGTTTCCTTAATTCTAAGATCGTGTTAATTGAGGATTATAGGTATAACGTTAAAATATTTCAAGCCATTTAGAGTTGTACAAGAATACAGTTGATAATATTCTATGCTCGTCATGCTTATGCTTTTAAATTTGACAAGTTCGTTAACACAAGTTAGCTGCCACCTAGCGGCCTGTCAACTTTAGTTCCAATTTATCGCTGGGCAAAGTATGTTAATAGATGACGAGCAAACGTTGATCTGTTAAACTTCAGTAGTTGTGTTTTGTTTCATTATTATCATTAAATTACCTAGAATAAAATTATACTTGTATTTGTGAATGCAACTTTGAGGTTAACCTGTGGATAATGTTATCTGTGGATAATGTTACGGAACTAAAAAACTTGTCTCCTAACGACGGAAATGCTAATGGCACAATAAATTTCGAAATTTTAGAATATTTTATCTGAGCAGCACCCTACCACCCACATTCAAAATAAGGGATTAACTGTCTCTCTTATAACGCATTCACGGCTTAAAGTGCAATGAATATTTATTGGATCGCACAGATTCGAACCGGGTTCGTTAGCTCCAAAATCCAGAGCTCTACCACAGGGATGGCGATGTTACAAGAGTCGTGTTATGAACTACATAGAAAATTCATTAACTTGCTTATAGAATAATCTTTCAGGGATGATTTTGGACACTGGACAAAGTGGTTTTAAGTTTGTAATAGTTTAGCTCGAAGCATTTGCTCTGATTGATGTACCTATAATGTATAAATACACTTTTTTGTTGGTGTTTAAGTTTACTTAATAACTGGTTTCAGCCACAATTGTTGAAAATACTAACCATAAAAATTAATTATTTCGGAAAAAATACATTTTGTATATCATTTGTCATCTAAAAGAGAATAAATATAGAAAGCTTTGTGTTGAAACTTGGCCTCCAATATTTACTCGTTTGAAGTTTAGCAATTGTAATGATGTATTTTCAATCTTAGGTGTAAAGGGTTTTTCAAGCGCACAGTGCAGAACAAAAGAGTTTACACGTGCGTCGCGGAAGGAAGTTGTGAAATTACTAAGGCCCAAAGAAACAGATGTCAGTATTGTCGCTTCCAAAAGTGTCTTCGGCAAGGCATGGTTCTAGCAGGTGAGATCTTAAATTTCTAGATTTGTGCTGAAGATAAGAGATGTGTCCCGACCAATACTGCTTACCATAATAGTATTAAACCTTTTTCAGTAACACTTCATATTTGCATTACATTTATGGATTACTTACTAGACATTTTAGGTAGTGGATTTAGTCTGGAGAGTATAACGAACTTCAATTATGTGTTAGTTTCAAGACGGCATTTCGAACTGTTAGATCAGATCTTCATAAAGTCAGTGTAGGTATATGAAAGGAGTTGAAGAATGGAACGTTGAAAGTGTTAAAAGTGGTTGACGAAGCTGCCTATATTCACGTGATCCATTCGAAACTGAACAGAAACCGAGAAATTGAAGTCAGCAAACCAAAGTCACCTATATATGGGGTTTTGAATCATCCGTGTTACTTCACCGTGTAGTAATCTAAGTTAGTTTAGTTAGGTATGTAACTGTTGTTTCCACATTTCGTCGAATATATTATACAGCAGACCAACTATTTAATGATTATATATATGTGTGTGTGTTAACATATATAAAGTCACCTTTGTTCCGCCAACACAGTTAACAAAACCTGAACATTCCAACAATATAAATCACTTTTCCAACTATTTTCAATTGAATTTTTTTACCAATTCCGTAGTACTACTTATGCAAAAATTTTAAATTTTACACTCCAGGAGAGATTTATCATAAAATAAACAAGAATTTGTTATTAATAATTCATTCACTTTTTCATTAGAAATAAAAAATTAAAGCCTCTACCGAAAAATCATTTGAATTTTTTCACCTGACTTTCTACATAATGAGAATTAGTATGCGTTAACATTTAGAATATTTAGCAAGTAGTCGGGCTTGATATATATATATATATATATATATATA